AACGGGGGGGAAGCAGATATACTTATATGTTAACCCAAATAGTAACACCAAAATGCGCAGTGGTACCTTGGAGAATGCCGGCCCCCGTGTTGCACACAAGTTTATGAGCTGATACCGCTACCATGCGGGTTCTGCAAGACTTGATTCTACTAACCGTCCACATGCGATGTGCTTCTGCAGGTCAGGGACAAGCTGAATGGCTTAAACCACGATGTATCTTCTGGCAAGCTCTACCTCGGATGATGCTGGTAGTAGGCGGTGCGCTTTCTCGGGCAGTTGCGCCATTTGCCTGCAGAGGCTTTGCGGCTTTGCCGTGCTGCATTGTCAAGCAATGCTGCGTCTCACCATCGTTACCCACAGGCAACACCATAATTTGCATGCGAGCTGTAAACAACAGCTTGCTTGCTGCACGTTCTGTGGAAAAAGCCGCAAGTTCAATCTGACGCCTGAGAGCTCTATCGTGCTTTCGAGTTGATGTGAAGAGGGGAGTGCACTGCTTGGTGCTGTCGAGATTCAGGCCGAACATGGCCGAATTTGGGCTCCAGGATATCGCAGAAAGAGTGCCGCGAAGGGCCAGACTGAAGCTGAAGGCCTGTCTCTTGCTTGTTTCGACCATGATCCATCAGACGACTCCGTGCAAAGGCATCGCATGGGGCCACTCCGCTCGGTTCACGGACAGGCAGCTGGGGCAACAAGCTTGCAACCATTCATTCAATTCAATTTCTCACATTACGAAGGAATGTGGGCGAGGTGTACAGCTGTGGCATGGAAGCGTACGAGATGCTTTTCGGAGTCGAGCGACTTTGCATCCCGACTCCAACTGACGTCAAACAGCTGTTCCCCCACATGGCAAACCTGCATCTGAGGATGCTGTTCAAGCTGCGCTGGAATTGTGTACTCATCTGACGAATCAACGATTCGCCTAAACTGGTTGTCAGTGTGCGCCAATGAGAATGCTGTGACTGATTTGGACGGATGCTTGTATGTTGCAGAAAATACCATAAGGTGCCCTCTTTGTTCTCCATTGATAGGACGTTTTCGATGAGCATAGGACATCAAAAGTCAAGGTGTTCATACTCGTGCGCTTCGAAGACAATGTGGGGGCAATAAGACGGAGAGCACCGGTTGATGTTGAGATAGACTGAACACATGGTGCTTGTGAGTATCATCGTTTGCTGGGAGATTGGCACCCGCTAGATTATGTCTATGCGTGAGACTTGCCACCTGGTGAAAATACTTCGGCGAGACAAAACATGGCGCCCACTTTTTCAGGGACCGTCCCTTTGGAGACGAACTTGCCCATGTGTTTGCAATCTGCTCAAGATGGAGAATCTGGAAGGACCACTGAAGAAATGAAGGTTCACCGGGCAAGTTGTGCTAGGCATCTTGAATGTTGAGGTGCAAACAAGTTAAGCTGTTGACTCCAACAAGCTGGACACAACATGTGATGCTTCCTGTAACATCGTTTATAGCCTTGGGGGAGCGAAGCAAGATCATTGAGAGCTCTTTTGACTATTGATGCCATGCCCGCCGTTCAAAAGTATCAGTGTTCAAATCAAGGTTTCCTCAAGGTCATTGCAAAAGGTGTTTTGAGAATCGCTTGTCGTCTTTTCTTCATATCAGTTTTCCATCAGGGTTTCCTTTGTGGTACACTGAATGGGGCTGTGGCCCGGATCCGGCCACTCGGCCGCCTGCAGCTATACCAATAGAAAAGACAGCTAGCAACTTGCAAGGCAGAAGCCTGGGCACATCACCCAAGCCCATGGTAAATGCGTGATTCACATGCAAAGCAGAAGTTGCTGGAGTTGTTAGATCGCCCGCATCTGCAGTACAAAAGCAATCGCAGCAGTCTTTTTGGTTCTGCTTCGCTGAAGCCTGCTGGCACCGACATAAAAACCAATGAAAAGGCTTTCAGTCCGCTGCACAAGACCCGGGGTTCGTAGCCGGCCCGAGCAACCCTGGCAGATGCATCCCAACTGCCTTCAAGCACTCTGGTCCCTCAACTAACTAACACTCGCAAAGACAAGCCGCAGCGATGCATGGCTGGCTTTGTTGAGAAACTGGTTAAACAGATGCTTACCTCTTTCACTAGGTATCACGCATCAAGGGCAAGCACTCCAACCTGGTACAAGCCAGCTGCCAATTGCTGCCATCTCCACATTCGGAGATCTATCGGTCGAGATGCAAAGAGCCTCGGAGTGCACCCATGCATGAACACGCGAAGAACCGACGATTGGAAGAGCGCACGATGCTCACCGGTGCCGTGTCTACAGTATTCTGAAGGTATGATTCAAAGCCTGCAATGCTCTGCTTTTCTGTCATCAAGGGGTGTCGGAGATCCAAGCAATGAAACTACATTCCTGTATAACCCATTAGGGCAGGTTTGCCCTCACGCATGCCGCTGGTTGGGCGGGCAGGCAGGCAGGCCTAGCCATAGACACACGTGTGACAACACGTGCTCGCACAAGCATAGACAAAGACAGAGACAAAAACACACAAGCACGCGCACACACACACACACGCACACACACACGCACACGCGCACACACACACACACGGGGAAAATGAAAACTTGCGCTCACACTCGGCTAGGCCCCAGCAAGTGAAGATCTCTTGAGATTTCGGTCGGGGACCGGGCGCGTGAAAGGGTACAAAATGGTGCCTTTCGGCTGGACGGCCTGGTCATCAAGGCATTATGTTTTGATTGGTTACTCGGGGATGTAATTGCTTTGGAGGTCAAGGCACTATTTGCTCAAGCCTTGCTTGATGCCTTTCCATCTATACAACAAGATGCCGGGAGCTTGGGCAGCCGCAGTTCCATGCCGAGCTTTGAACAGTGAGACTGCAGTGCGAAGGCAGCAGTCGTGAAGGGAAATCCGAAGTATGGAGCCTGCCTGAGATGCGGACAAGATACAACACCACCTGCAGCAAGTCAATAGTCAGGCGACTACCAGTGCAACAACGCAATGACAATCTTCAAGGAGCACGGCACAGGCTGGGAAAGACGCTGGTGCCGACGAACCATTGCGGCAAGCATGCACCGATCGTCACCACGGTTGCGCCGGTGAAGGCCTGGGATTCCAGACGCCTTTGCAGGTTGCAGAAGCCATCAGGCAGGGTGGTGCCTAGAAGCGTATTTGCTAGGTGCAATGACATGAGTCGTCACAAGGGTCTTGGGCTCTTCGTGTCGCAAGCCAGATGCAGCGCTTTGGATGGGTGCAAGGTGCCACCTCAGCAGCGCTATCCCTAAACCCAAGATGCTTCTAGTTGTGAGAGTCATAGCAACCCTGGGATAGCATTCTCCATGGAAACGAATGTGCATGAAGCCAGCTTGCGGTGAAGTACAGAGGCGCCATGATTAGAATCCGGAACGGTGGGGATCGCCCAGGTCGGCGTCCAGGTGTGTTTAATCTCTGGCACCAAGATGGGCCGTGGACGATCCATTAACTAAGCATCCTGACATCGTCCAGGTGTGAGACACCCCTTCCTCTGCATCAGTTCAGATGAAAGACTGCAGCATCTAGAACTTCGAGGGTCACGAATCCACACATTTGTCCCTCTGCTGTCACAGAATCATGCGAACCGACAGTACACACATGCCCACGCCAAACCTCAGATCCCTGCCAGATCGGCATGACATCGATGGGTAGAAGTGCACCACAACTCAATGATGCACCTGTCCCATAAACGGATCGCCGGAGTCCGTGTCCGAAAGTGGTTTTGGCTTGATTCGCTTTGGCTGCTGATTCGGCAGTGCCAGATGCTCCTGCTTGCAGGGGATCTCTGCCGGCTAATGACATCATCGGCGAGATCACTGTTGCACCACAGGGATTTGTCACAGTACACGGCCAGGATTACATAGCTTGGACCTTCGCACGCTGCAACCTGAGAAAGCTAAGGTCAAAGTACGGGAGGAATGGATTTGCAAGGAGGCCAGCTCGAACAAAGATGCGGGTTGTGATGCTGTTGCAAGCAAAGGAATATCCATGTGAGAAGCGCAGTGTAAGAATACGCCGTGTCACCACTGCAATGCCTGCTCAGGTGGGTCAAATAGTGCTGGGAGAAGTTGAGTATAGAGATTTGCCCAGGAAGAGGGCCAATGCCTGAGATACTCTGGACTGTTGACCTTGTCTCCGCGGTTTTGCAGATGCGACCTACAGGTTGTAGTGGATTATTCGTCTCCGAATATCGCCAAAGAAATGCACGTTGGCCACTTGAGGCGATCAAGAAGAGTGCATAAATGCAGAAACCCTCGGACCGTTTCTCTGGAGGTCGACAATCATCGGTGAATCGATCCGCCGGGTTCTCGAGTTTTGTGGTCACGAAGTCCACGGCCGGGGACTGAGAGCTGTGAGGTTGCATGGCTCGCGTCCTAAATACGCGAGTGTCTTTGCTTCTGCGAAGGCCTCAACCATGTCGGCGACTGGGGCACTCAGTTTGGCATGCTCATCGAATATATGAAGGAAGCATATCCGAACTTCCAGGCCGTTAATCCGATAATCGACTTGGAATACCAAGAAGCGACCTTGGTCAAAATAGTCCGGCAGGAACAGCTTCCAGAAGTGCACGACCTTCAGGAATTTTACAAGGAGGGATTGGCCAAAGTCTGGCTGCACTCTGTTCATGAAGCTGTGCACCACGCAGGCCTCAAAGAAAAGGTTTGACGAAGATGCGGTCATTGGCTCGGAGCAAAGTAAGATTACACGTTGGCAGACGTGGTCTCAGCGTGCCACAGGAGTTCAAGTCTCGCGCACAGCTTGCAGTTGTTGATTTACAAGCTGGTGGGGAGTTTGTCTTGGACTCAGAGCATGAGCCTGCACGTGGAACAGGTCTGAAGCAATTTCAATCTAAGTTCTCAGACCGGAACGAAGCGAGCACCGCGGGTGAAAGTGGGAAACACCACAACAGGCTGCAAGGCAACATGATGCAACACGGCAACACTTTGCAATGCAGACGTTCTCTGAGGCGAGATCAGCCTGGCAGAAGATCTGCGAGGTCAGCAGAGTGGCCTTCAACAGGACTTCGGACTCCGGGATGCTCGAGGTGCCGAACAAGCTCACTCAATTCACATGACAGGATATATAGCAGGCTCGACATCTCCATCGAGGATGCCGGACCCACTCCGCTCAATTAGTGACAAGATGCGGCATAGTCACAAACTGTTTAAACGGCTCTGTTCACATTGCGTTGCGAACGGCATCACTTACTTGGGCATGGTCAGCCAGGCTTGGGTGTGCTAGGACAGCTTGTGATAGATGTGAAGTTCGGGTTGGGCTGGGTGGGTTGGTTGGACGATACAGGTACACGACAAGATGAGGTAGAATCTGAAGGTGAGAGACTTTGCACGAGCTTGCATCAGGGGCAACTCAGCGAGCTGAGGCTCCTGGTAGGTCAGTTCGGGTAGCCTCGGGGTCCAAGACTGAGGACGAGGGTTGCAGATTTGGTGCAATTAGCCTAGGCATAGGTCGGCACCTCCTAAATTTATTGATTTTCTTGTGAACTATCTCCGGGTTGGCGATGGCTTTGCACTCCCCAGCAATGTCCGTCCCTAATGTCAGGGCAAAACGGAATTGGTTGGACTCTGCACAGGTTGGAAGCCTAACCCTCGCTTTGCGATCTGGCGTGGTAAGTCAGGTGGAGGCGGTTTGGGTGAGCTTGGGGTTTTCAAGTTTTCGGGGCTCTGGCAGATAAGGCAGGTGCAGGACAAAATGTGTGTTGTTTCCTCGAGATACCTCCTGTTCTCGTTCTTTGCAAGCAGACTTCCTTTCAGACACCTCTCCGGACATCTCATGAGCCATTCAGCGACTGCTTAGGCTACCGACTTTCCCAACACTACAGGGACCTCGCTAGCTAGAAGCTATGCGAAAGTCTCGATTTCCAGCTCGTTGGGGCGGTCTTGGAGGTGCCTGCCCACTTTACAGCCACAGCACCGGATGAAGGTAGAAGAGCACGCATGTGGTTTCTGGCCATGGCTCACACTTAAAACGAGACAAGTCCACCTTCGCCGCTTGCAGGAGCGAGGCGAATCCTTTTACAACTCATTGATCCCGCCACTCGTTGAGGAGCTCAAGGCAAGAACTCTTTTACCAAGCAAGAGCCATAGTCACCGTATAGACGATTGGAACCTAGCCACCCCAGACTGCGGGCAGATTTTGGAGACAAGCCACTGCTGTGACTCCTGTTGCCGCCGCTACCACTGCGGTTGCTGTTACTGCCACTACTACTACTGTTGCTACAGTTGTGCTGCTGACTCAACAACCAGCACAGCAAACAAACAAGAAAAGAACCACCACCACCACCAACGACGACAGCATCAGCAAGAAGAAGAAGAACAACAACAACAAGAACAACAGCAGCAACAACAACAACAAGAGCAGCAACAACAACAACAACAACGACGACGACGACGACAATTTTTTTTTCAATTGAACGCTGCGCGAGCGTGCTCTGCGCATAGCGGGCGCTGGACTTAGCAGACACTCGGTGAAACCGATAGGACATGTCCGAACTTACTGCTCACGGGTAACTTCCGACTAGTAGCACTGCCTAATCTAGGAAATAAAGGAGCTCTCACTGACGTATAAACATGAGACTTGGACAGATGTACAACCTCCGACACCCTAAGTGTGTACTGTCGCGTACGACGCACACGGACCCACGTCTGTTGAGGCGTACCCTGACAGGTCAGGGCCGGGGCTCAAAGTGCCAGTCCAGCGGCGTCCCGCACTTGGTCACTTA